ATCTATAAATATATATATCTATATATATATATATATAAGAATGTCAGTTTGACTATATATATATATATATATATTGTGCTTTGGGCATTTAGGACAGCTTTCACTCAATAAATGTTGAAAAGTCTGAAAGTTTTTTTAAATTTTTTATTCTAAGCTAAATCAACGCTTCGGAAATCTTTTTATGCTAATTTGAACTTGAACAAGAGAGCCTGGAACATCCAATGTTAAATTTTAAAGTTACACAGTTTATTGAGTTTATGTTTGTGTTTGATTAAAGTGCGAGCACTGAGCTGCTGCCGTTTTATTTCGCAGTCCGGTTAACTTCCTGGATCACACGCAGCACAAGGGCCTGGCAGTGGCTGTGTTTGGAGTCCTCCTGTGCAAACTGTGGGGTCTGCTTGTGTCACCAAATCCCCTCCCGTTCACCACAGACTCAAAGAACAAACGTGAGCTCTTCCTCCACCAAGAACATTGTCTGCTTTCACTTCTAACACAGACTGGATTTCATTTAAACTCAGCTCTACTTACAACAAAAAGAGTTTAGAGTGGACTGCCGGTGTCCAACAAATAGAAATCTCCAAAACATTTTTTGGTACATGTATTCATTATGATCTAGATTATTGGGTACCACTTTACAACAAGGCTCCCCTTATAAAGGACTAATAAATAGTTTATAAATATGTTATTAATTCCTCTATAAACACTTTATAAATAATTAATAACTGCTTATTATGCATTAATTAAGGGTGACAGAGACAAAACTGGCCAGTTTCTTGCCAAATGGTGAGCCAAATCTGTTCACATATATATTTCATCTAGACTTGTTATATTAAACATTTTACTCTAAGTTACTACCTTGTAAGCACAATAAGCATTTGTAAACCTATTTTTTTTAGGATATAATATTAGTTGTAGATATAATGCAGTGATAAAGTGCAATACATGCTAAAAAAAATAGGTTTACAAATGCTTATTGTGCTTACAAGGTAGTAACTTAGTCTGAAATGTTTAATATAACAGCTCTAGATTAAATATATAGGTAAACAGATTTGTCTCACTATTTGGAAAGAAACTGGTCATTTTTGTCTCTGTCACCATTAATTAATGTATAATAAGCTGTTATTAATAATTTATAAAGTGTTATAGAGGAATTAATAACGTATCTATAAACTATTAGCCATCTATATGGGGAGCCTTATTATAAAGTGGTACTGATTATTGTTTTATTCTTTAGATTGTTTTTAATCATGTGTTTGAGCAGCTTTGTGCCTAACGTTACATAAGAAATGACTAAGAGTAGGTCTGCTGGGGTTTTTTTTACACAGTCCCCAGTAAACCAGTAAAAGTTTCCATTGGTTTGTGTTCTTTAAACAGGTTTCATTTCGAACGTTGTTCCACGTTAATGCTGTCTACCTTCACACACTGTGTTTGCAGAGCACTGGGTGATCCTGGGAGTCTTTTATTACCCCACTCTATACTACCCTCTCCTGGCATGTGGCACTTTACATAATAAAGTTGGCTACGTCCTTGGCAGCCTCTTATCGTGGACACATTTTGGTGTTTTGGTGTGGCAAAAAATCGACTGTCCCAAAACACCTGTGGTGAGTATGAATCTGAGTGAACAATGAGCGCAGAACTTTTAGTGGGAGAGTAATAAATAAGTACATTTCTTAAATATTCATCTTTAACTCTCAGACTGTTTTTGTATGGCACGTCCATCAAAATATTAAGGATTAATAACAAAAAACAAAAAAAGCTGCTTTGTTCCAGTCTGAAAACCCACCGAGAACTAAACGAGGCCAGTTTTGTGTAGTACAAAAAGAAACAGGACTGAATATTGAGCTGTCAAGATGGATTCACGGACACACATTTGGGACCTTTAAATTTAATCCAGTTCTAACCTTTGCGCCAAGTTTTTTTTTTTTTTCTTCCTGAATGGCTGTAAGTCAAAACAGTTAGTTCCACTGTCTGAGTTTTAATTAGTAGGCTTTGTTAGTGTTAAACACTTTAGTTAGATCCAGTAGAACACACAAACACACACTACTTATGTAATGCTTTACCTTTTATAAGCACTAATCACATACAGTATTTGACAGTCCATGACTGTTTTCTGAGTGTTGCTTCAAAAACCCCCAGAAAAAGTTGCTAGGTGACATTTATTTCTTCTTCTTCTTCTTTTGCAGATACACAAGTACTACTCTCTGTTCTCCAGCCTGCCCCAGATAGTTTGCTTGGCATTCCTTAGTTTCCAGTATCCCCTGCTTTTGTTCAAAGGCTTCAAGAGCTCTGAAACGATCAATGCCACCGAGGTAAGGTTCAGTCTGAGAGCAGCTCCTCTGACAGATCCACTTCAAGATGATTCAGCTGTAGTTATTTAAATACATTTCACAGAAATGTTAAGTTCAGGCACAAAGAAACAGATTATAAAAGAGCACATTTGCTCTCAATTTGAATTTGTACGTGAAGAGCCTTTTTTACAAGCTGCCCTGCTAATTTTGGAGCTTACCCTGCTCAGACTGTGGAGCCTGTAAGACCCAGTGAGCACCAGTGGCACAATCATTTTAAGCAGATTTGATGTACTGGTAATTGGTTTCAAACAGGCCCAAGTTCTTGATCAAATGATGAAAAGGCCACCTTGTTTTTTGATTCATGGAGAGACAATACTGTTTTTATTTGCTGCTAATCTTGGTATGAGTTCTAGAATTGCGCCGCTCGGGGTGGCTGCATGTTGGAGTAGCTCATTACATTCATTCTGAGTTTTTGCTTTTGAAAATTTTATTTCCTCTTTTTTCTGGATGTAAATCGCTTTTTTTGGATTACTCTGGTATCGGATGCTGTGCAGCTGGAAGGAATTTTACTGAAACCTTTTTACTTTTGGGCATTTGCTATGATGCGTAACCATGGCAACGAGGTGTTTTTTTTAACAACCAGAAGCAGCTGATTAACATCTCAAAAGCTCAAGTATTTCAACTACAGCCCCAAATCCCAAATGAGTTGAAAAGGAGGCATCATGGACGAATACCCATCATCCTGACGGCGGTGCTCAAGTACCTGACCGCCGAGATCCTGGAACTGGTGGGAAACTTGACTCGTGACAACGGTAGGACCAAGATCATCCTCCAGCACCTTCGACTGGCTGTCTGTGGTGACAAGGAGCTCAGCAGACTATTGGGAGGAGTGACAATCGCTCAGGGAGGAATTCTGCCCGTTATTAGGTCAGTCCTGCTGCCCAGGAGGACCGAGAGGCCTGTCAGACCTGACAGCAAGCTGAATTCAGGAGGACGGATCGGTATCTGTGACCAGATTCTTTGGATTCGCTGTAGGAGATCCTCCCTGCCCATAGCTATCAGCATTTATAACAACTCTTGAACGAAACCAGGATCATGAACTACCACAACACTTATTTTCACTTTGGGATTAATAAAGTATTTTTGAACTGAATTGAATAGAATTGAATTGAGTGTGACAAAGTGTAGTGAAGTGATTATCTATGGATCTGATTTTTTTTTCAATCAACCTTTAATTATACAGATAAAACACATTGAGCCTCGAAGACTCATTCACAAGTGAGACCTGAATGAGAACCTTATTAACTTGATCGCAACTTTCACAAATAACCAAAAGCAATAAAATACAATAAAAAATACTTCATATGATAGTTTCTGAAAAAATTTGGACTTTTGACAGCCAGACTAAAGTAGTTAAATAAAGATTGTAACTCATCCATCCCTTATCTTCTGCTTGATCTGAAGCTGGATCATGGGCGAAGCAAGAAGGAGGCCCAAACATCTTTTCCCACAGCCACCCCTTTCAGACAAAAGACAGTCCGACCAGCGTGTCCTAAGTCTTTCCATGGGTTTCATCCCAGTAGGACATGCCCAGAAAACCTCCCTACAGAGGCATCCAGGGGGCATCCTTACCAGCTGCACAAACCACCTCAACTGGCTCAAACCACCTCAAATGGCTCCTCTCCATGTGAAGTCTTTCCTGGATATTTGAACTTTTCATTCTATTTCTAAGAAAGATTCCAGCCACTCGGTGGAGAAAACTCATTTTGACCACTTGTACCCGCAATTTTTTATTTCGGTCTCTACCCAATATTTGTGACCATAGTTGAGGGAACATAAACCCAGAGAATGTAAACAGATAGCTTTGTCTTGCAGCCCAGCTCATCTTCACTACAATGGACCGGCACATAGTCTGCAATACTGCACCGATCCATCACTTGTGAGCAAAACCCAGAGATACTTGAACTCCTCCATTTGAAGCAGAACCTCAATCCCGACCTGGAGAGGGCAATCCACCCATTTCTGACTGAGGACCATGGCTTCAGATTTAGAGATGCTGGTCCTCATCCCAACCCCTTTGCACTTGGATGTGACCACTCCATTGAGTGCTGAAGGTCATGGCACAACGATGTTAACAAAACTACATCATTTGCAAATAGCAGAGATGGATTCTTGAGGCCACTCCCTCCACCCCCTGGCTGCACCGAAAAATTCTGTCCATAGAAGTTATGAACATAATCTATGATTATGGGCAGCTCTGGAGGAGTCCAACCCTGAGGAACCCCACTTACTGCCAGCAATGCAAACCAAACTTTTGCACCACTCATATAGAGACTGAATGGCCCATACAACAATCCTCCAATCCCATACTCAGCACCCCCCATAGTGTACCTTGAAGAAAGACTCTTTTAGACACAATTATTATCCCAAATGGCACCAAGAACATATTTTTCTATTTTGTGATGCTTTACCAGACTTTTACTGCAGCTGTCTTTATTTATTGTTTGTCCTTATGCATTTCTTTACTATTTGTTTTGCTTTTTGGAAGTCACATGCAGCTCTGTCTACAGCAATTGGTTCAACCATTGCAGAATATTGAGCTTCTTCACCTTCGACCTCCACAAATTGCTTTTACGGCATCTTTGGGATTACTTTTCATCTGGACTGAGATACACGTTTCAGTCAGCCTTTAGATCATTTCACTGAATTTCAGCAGAAACTACAGCACTGAGCAAAAGTTTAAACGCCCCGCTTTGCTTTATTTTGCTTTCAAGGAGTCTGATATTTTAAAGTGGTCTCAACCAATAGCATCAGGATGTTCTGAAGGTCTTTTAATCTTTTTTTTCCTCACTTTTGCTGTTGTCAGTAGTTGGACCAGACCATGATAGTATTTTGTGTGATCTGAGCACAAGTAAAGTGGACAAAAAGAAATGGTCAGCCTGCATAACCTGAGCAGTTTGCAGATATTAGTTTTTTGGGAAAAAATCTGTTGCTAAAATACTGTCAAAATGCAATTTTAGGTATTTATCACAACTTCATCTTAAGAAACTGGAACATGTTGTGTCTTTACTTTACGTCTAGCTACTGGTAACTAAACACGTAAAGATGGCAGTGAAGGTTTTTACCATATGTCATTGTCTGCAGATAACACTGGTCATCCCTTGAGTTAATAAACTTTTTATAAGTCATGTCCGTGTAAGTTGACTTAAACATCAACATAAATCCATCCATCCATTATCTTTACCTGTTTTTTCCTTTCCAAGGCTTGGGGGGAGGGTCACTGGTGTCCACATCCAGCAGTCACTGTGCAAGAGGTGGAGGACACCTGGACAGGTCACAAGTCCATCACAGGGACACATAGAGACAAATGAGACAAACAACCATTCACACCCAAAGCAACTAAATATTAGTCTTCTGAAAATGTTCATGCAGTGGACAGAAAATATGTGAATAAATGGTAAATGGACTGTACTTATATAGCTACTTTCTATCTTATCACGATACTCAAAGCTCTTTACACTACAACCTGTGTCCTTATTTACACATTCATACTCTGCAAAGAATAATCAATGCTTTATCACCGATGGGACACACATCAGAGGTAATGAGAGGTTCAGTGTCTTGCCCAGGGACACTTTGGCATGTGACTGCTGGTGGAATTGAACCCCCAACTCTTGCATTGGAGGACGACTCCTCTAACCATTCAGCCACAGCCGCCCGTTTGGAACAAGCAACCAAAGTCCAATAAAAATCTTTGTTCTTGAGAAAGACTGAACAACTACTGATAAAGATTATTTTAAAAGAGTAGGAGCAAATCTGTCCCCTAGAAAACAAATTATAAAGGAATGACGTAATCTTCTTACACTTGTATTATTAAACAGCACCAGAGACCCAGCTCCAAAAAATAATGTTTCAAAACCGATTTCACTTCTTAAAATGTTTCCAGTCAAAGTCTAATCTGGCCTTTTCATTCCTGAGTTTAAGAAACCTTTTGTTAGATGTTGTGACGCTTCTGTTTGATCTCGTGAGGTCTTCTCATTATATTAGACTCAACTAACACAACACTGACCTCCTGGAGAGTCTTCTTTACCCTGTTAGATGCTCTGGAGCTTTTTTTTTCACCCACCACTGAAGTTTTTGGTGGATATCCGTGCATTTTTTTAATATTTTGAGCCTACCAGTGTGACTGTGCTTCTCTTTGACAGTACCAGACTGCTGTCTCGCTCCTATTCCTCCTAAATGTTGCTGTTTTTGTTTCGTTTTTAATATCATTTTCTTCCATTTACTTTTTCAATTTATATGCTTTTTTTTATGATTGTCTATTGTCATTATTGCCGTCTGTTGTCATCATTCTTTATTAAAAACAGGTCACTCAATGAGATTAACCTGTATAAATAAAGGTTGAATGAAAATTCCATCATTGAAGGTCTGGTTCACTTGTCTTGAAAAGGATGGCAGATCTGACCAACAAATGGACACACACTTCTTTGTTTCATTAAATAGCTAATGGCTGAAACAGATTTGAGCTTTGCATTTCAACTACATTTGAAACAGCTGTAATTCTCAGACCTTTATCTCCATTTTGGACGAGAACACACAGAAATGATCAACAGTCTGCTGTTTGGAGCCTATTCTACAACCTAAAATGAATGTGTTTGGTACACTTGTGGTTTTCCAGAATTGTGTACATTTTTCACATCTTTGCCCTTCTCATGTGAAAGTGATTTTTTTTTTTTTTGTAAATATCTGTTTGTTTTTACTTTTCTAGGATCTGAGCAGCAGCTATTATGGAGACTATGTAAAGAAGATGCTTCGAGAGAAGAAACCCAGACGAGTCAGGTAAAAATAATGATACTTTATTAACAGTAGACTAATTTTTTGTTTTTCTGTTTGACAACTCATCCATTGTGTTTGTCATTTTATCTTGAGTCAGCTGTATATTAGGTGCAATAAAGTGGGGGACTTTATTGAGAGAAAAGAGACCGATACTTAAAATCAAAATATGCTTCAATATTATGCAAAATATGACATATCGAAACTAAAAAAATGAAAGTCAACTGCTTAAATAAGAACTAAAACTGAACAAAAACTTGAAAAATTAACACTAAAGTTGAAATGATTGCCAGCAGCTTCACTTTTCTTCTATCATGTCATTTTATTATGAGCAGAATGTAATTTGGCAATGTCTTGGTGTAGAAAACTTCATTTATTTGAATTTAATGTATGTTTCAGCTTAAAAAAGTCTGCACTCAATAATCCAGGTATACAATCCAACAATTTTCAGTCAGGTCATCTGGACAGTTTCTTGTTTTGCTGAAACTTTTCACCTTCCATCCAGAAGGCTTCATCAGTCAAGAAAACACACAACACAAAACTGATTCTCCCCCCAAACAGTTTACTCCAAAGTGGAACAAACCAGTTATGTTGGTGCTAAGATGGTCTCTTTGGCACGCCCCCTCCTCCATTGCCGGCTTTCTTCCTCGTTGACAGTCATGTCAAACTGGTTCAAAACCAAAAAAGTCCATGCTCAATAATCCAGGTATACAATCCAACAATTTTCAGTCCGGTCATCTGGACAGTTTCTTTTTTTGGTTTTGAACCCATTTGACATGACTGTCGATGAGGAAGAGGGCCGGCAACAAAGAAGAGGGCGTGCCAAAGAGACCGTCTTAGCACCAACATAACTGGTTTGTTCCACTTTGGAGTAAACTGTTTGGGGGAAGAATCAGTTTTGTGTTGTGTGTTTCCTTGATTGATGAAGCCTTCTGGATGGAAGGTGAAATGTTTCAGCACAAAAAAAAGAAACTGTCCAAATGACCTGACTGAAAATTGTTGGAAATGTTTCAGCTCATACAGTAGTGTTTTTTTTTTCTATAAGAGAGAGCTTCAACATGAGGTTAACAAGAAACACTTAGTTTGTGAATGAATTTTACTTTTCTCTACTCTAAAATGAGTTGAATTATAAAAAATTAACACTTTATTTCACTTTTTTCCCAAATGTTTCATTGTATTTGAATTAAGATTTCTTTAGTCTGACTGATTCACAAATAACAACTAAACGGTTTTTTTTTTGTTGTTGTTGTTTTTAATGTCCCGAGGACCAGATTTAACTTTTTTATATTTTTCTACCTGGATTATTGAACATGCACTAAAAGTACAGTTTTTCTCCTTCAGTTTCATGCAGCTCATGTGTTTAATGCATTTTAAGTGTGTGACACTTTCTTGTTTATGTCCAGCACATCGAGCACAAACAAACCTAAACTCCCTCAGAGAATAGTCGATGCTGTGAAGTCTTATATTTACACGCCGGAGGACGGTAAATATGTCTTTGTCTTTCGGTTGCACCTTGGATGTCAAATACATGTAAATCTTAGAAATTATTTTAAAGTAAAAAGAAACAAATACGAAGCCAAGCACATGAAATATTAATCTGTTTACAAATGATGAACAAACTATAAATACAATACGCTGCACAATTAATTTAAAATAGCAAAAACAAAATGTAAATGACAACTGGTCAACAACGTTTTATGATCATACAATGAATGGTTATGTGTAAGGAGAGAAAAAGAACATTTATATACAACACTGCCATTCTAAGATCTGTTTTACATAAATCAGACGTAATTGAGTATTTCATAAAACTTCTGCTGTGTTTCCAACAGCTTTCCGTTTCCCTCTGAAGCTGGCAATATCATGCGTGGTGTCTTTTATAAGCCTGTATCAGGTAACACATACATCATATTACTTTGTGAACATTGTGTGAGCAGTAAGATTCAGAAGCACAGAATAACTTCATCCTGACTAATGTTTTAGATATTTTTCTGATCACCGAGGGTAAAAGCTGCAGGGTTCTGGCTGCATTTCAATAAACATAGTCAAACTTTTAATATCAATAGTTGTATAGAGTGCTTAATATTTGTAAAGATGATGACGAAGTGATGAATAAGACTTTTATTTTCCTTCAGATGGGTCTAGTTTTGATCATGACTGTAGTGCCAACTCTCCAGACCGCCCGATACGGAGTGGATGAAACCATTGCAAACGTTTTAGCTGGTTTCCAGATCATTCTGTCTCCAGACAAACACGAGGTCGTGAGGATTGTGGTTTACTACATATGGTGTGTGGAAGGTGAGGGAAACCATCGGCCACATGCACAATGACACAAATATCACCAATATTTGTTGTACTTTGTTACTAATTATATCAGTGAATGAGAACTCCCTGAACCGTCATGTGTCCCTGCAGTGTGCTACACCTCAGCAATGACTCTGTCGTGTTTGGTCAACATGGTTCTGCTCATGCGCTCCATGGTTCTCCATCGGTAAGTCTGAAAACACAACGGAACATTTTTTATTATCTGCTGCTATGATCTATGCCTGCATCTATGTCTGTTAATAAAATAATTCATGAACCACACAGCAGATTTTATTGAAACTCCCAGAAACTAATCATTGAATGTACCATATTTTTGGGACTATAAAGGCGCATTAAGCGAAACAAAACAGTCAGCTAAGTCAAACTTTATTCAACTCATTCACGATAACCACATAAAATTGGTTCACGGTCAGTAAGCACAACCAGAGTTAATACATAAGGTGCACCTGATTATAAAGCTCACTGTGGATTTTTGAGAAAATCAAATGATTTTAAGTGCGCCTTATAGTACGAAAAATACAGTACATCCACAGCTAACTGACCTCGACAAACACAAAAATGACTATAATTCTGTCAAGTTCACAGAAATTGAGCTTAAACGTTTTAGTAGTAGTAGTAGTAATTAACAAATACTTTGAGAACTGATATTGTGAATGATCTCACAATGTTGTGTGAGATGAACATAAGATGATCTTAAAACACTATGGAGCAAGGCGGGTGATGTGCACCCATCGAAGAAACGCTAGGCCTTTGATTTTCTCTTTGCTGCGTTCAATAATTGCCTCCTGGTTCATCCATGGTAATTTCGGGGTCATTATAATGTGATTAAGTACTGATCACCCAGGCAGAAATGCATTTACTCTGTACTAAATGCTGCTGCAATTGGAAATAGCTTTTCAGATAAGCAGTGTGATTTGTAATGACCACAGGAACGTAAAATTAAAAGAACTGGGTTTGCAGTTCAAGTGTTAAATTGCATTTCTGTTACATTCACCACTAAATGACTTCAATTTGTCAAGTCGTTCCAGTATACTGTACAGTATACAGTATACTGGATATACTGTATACCAGTATACTGTACAGTTACAGTATACTGTAGTTGTTCATTTTAGCAATGAACTAATTTAACTTTTGCTCAATGCTGCCAATTTTTGGTTGTCTCTTTAAGGTCAAACCTGAAGGGGCTTTACAGAGGAGATGTTTATAATGTCTACAACTGTCAGCGAAGTATCCGGGCGTCCAGGTCGACGCTGGTCTGCTGGATGGGATACACCAGCTTCACCGCAGCTCACATCTGTATCGGTACAAATGTGCACTTTAGCAGTGACAAACAAAACCGTTTGCATCATACATGGTTTCACTTAAATGCATTATGTGTGCAACAAAAAGCAGGTTGCATTGATCTGAGCTCTTCCCCCGCAGGAATGATCATCCAGACTTTAGTGTTCTTCCTCTGCCTGCTGATCGCTGTCTTCCTCATAATCATACCCATCCTGCAAAGACAGAATCTGATTCTGTTTCAGATCCTGTGGAGCATGTGGTGAGCATCTCCTACTTCTTAAATGAGCTCAACTTCAGCATCCTGAACACTTCTGTCATGTAAACCCACTGGTTTTTGTTTAATTTGAGCATGTGGATGTGAAAGTTGTGATACAAGCTTCAAATGAAACTACGACTCTGTTTATATATTTGGCTTGTTTGACCCTTGGTCAATCAGCTTTCAGTCCACATGTTTCATGTCCGATGTACAGAAGTAAATTGGATTCACAGCATTTCCTGTCAGCAGCAAATTGGTTTTGTGCCTTTTGTCAGACTTGTATCACAACAGGAAGTGCTCGGTGGGTTTTTTTTCCAGGCCTTTCTGGCTGATGATTCTCCTGGCTCTGTTGATTCAACACATCGCTGCCAGGTTTTGCTTCATTAAGAAGACAGCAAGCACACAAGACCTGAACAACAGGTGATTTACTCACTATGTCAATGATGACTGTCCGTTTTAACACCCTAACTTATCCTCATTCATCCTGCAGGGTTAATCTGTTCCTGCTGACGTATCTGCTGTTCCCCGTCAATGTTCTGATCGGGGTTCTGCTGGCTCTGTGGCGCATGATCATCACCGCCCTGTTCAACATCGTCCACATGGGACGAATGGATATTAGTCTTCTTAACCGCACGGTGGAGGCGTTCGACCCAGGTGAGCCTCTGGTCACGGTTTAGTACAATTAGCATCCAGAAACATCGGGCCTACAGGACGGAAACAATGTAGTCTTGGCAACATAACATGCTGTGAATCCGTTAAATCAAAATGAAATAAGCAATTACAGACTCTTAGTTGTGTTTTTATTGCTTCCATTGTTTTCTCTTGTATATGATTTAAATTTTAATGGAACTACCAGCATGCTTTTATGCTCATAAGTGCAATATGTTTTTGTTTTCATATAGGCTTTAAAATATGGTTGTTGTTTTTTTTTATGTACAAAAGCACTTTTTAATCCTGCTTTTAGGCTAAAAATGTGCATTCCATCCACTCTGCTGTTCTGGCAGCTTACTCTTGTATCATATCTGTATTCTGTGCCGTGCAAGGACAGTAACTGTTCACCGATTTCTAAAATAGGTGCAGATTTAAGGCATCTGTTGTCAGGAAGAGCAGGTGGTTGGAATAAAAAAAAAAAGAGAAGTGTGATTGTACAGCCATTATGTGTGATCGCCTCAAAAACAACATGGGGTGCAGTGCTACATGTTTTATTGCTTTTGCCCTCTCAGAGTGATCCCCTCCACCCCCTCCCTGTGTCTGTCTGCAGCCTACCGCTGCTATGCTCATTATCTGAAGATTGAGGTGAGCCAGTCCCACCCTGTGATGAAGGCCTTCTGCGGGATGCTTCTGCAGTCTGTGGGCCAGGAGAGCAAAGCTGCACAGAGGTCACGAGACGCTGAGGAGGGTCAGTAAAACTCTGTTCACATCAACACTCAGTGTTTTTAAAATAGATTCAATTGTTCAGTCTGTAAATTGTGCAAAGGCTGAGTGTGGTTTTGATTATTTAAACAGTTTGAGACTGAGTAAAAAGACTGTGCAGCAGGAACATGTAGGTCAAATGCACAATATGTCAAAATGCACAAATGTTCAGCGTTGATTTGAGTTTTTTGTTTATGCATATCATAAATAATGAAATAACACTGAACATGCATCACTCACTAGCAAAGGTCTACCGCATAATTTGTAATAAATAAGCAAAATCAGCACTATTTTAGTTTTAATTACATTAAATTTATATTTATATTTGCTGTTTTCTAACTCAGTTTTTTACACAAACCTTGACTTTGATGCGTTTCAGTTACATGAACCCCAAACATCTGTTTAATGATGTGGAAATTATGTTTGAAGCGTAAAAATTCAAATAGAAAAAAAACATTATATGTTTACAGCTATTGCAATTTTAAATTGAATCATATTACTGAGATTGATTGAAGAGATCAACCAGCAGAATAAAGTTATTGATCATTAAATGTTGTATGGCCTTGGGCTGTAAATGTTTGCGACTAGTTGGCGAAACACAAATTTCAAAGGAAAAACACAAGCGTCACAGAAACGAGTTTTGAACATGTTCCAAAAAACTGTGAAACAATCACTTCTTAAAATAGTCACAAAGTTGTTACATACAACTCCAACCCGTGTCAATTAGTTTTCATCAACTTTGGTGCACTTGTACCACATTTTGACACCGGTGTGGTGCTCACATGACCAAAAATATCCGACTACAGCTCTGAATATCCAGGTCTAAAAACCATGACAGTGGTAAATAGTAATTTATATGAAAATGGACCAAATCTGCCTGTCTTTGTTTCAAAAGTGTACTCCAGTAGAGTAAATCATAAATGTGAGGGTGGGCTGCCAGTGTGGACCAAGATGAGCATGAGGTGAACGGAGGGCAGTGTAATAAAGTGTGGAGCTTAAAATACAGTTTGTGCAAAGAAATATAATTCATCATTTTTTTCACAAATGTGGTTCACTGGTCACTTTGCTGCAAACTATCAGAAATGTGACACTGCAGTTAAAAATGAACCTGCTGTCTCGCATTTATGAGTCACAGTCTACACAACGGTCGTAGCCCATTTTGTTTTGGACAAATGATCGCTGCGTTCAATTGAAGTGGGGTTCTGTGGAAAACTTGTGAACAAGTAACTTCTTACCTGTTGTAAATAACTCTTCTACTGGCCTCAGTTTGGAGAAATAGGGTTTAATTCTAACTGGGTTAATGAGCTACAAAACCAATGTTGATTTTTGCTTTTTTAAAAACAATTTCAAATTCAAAAATTTCATAGCAGTTCACCTAATCATTTATTTATTTTTCCAGAGACACTTCCACCACAGTCACATAGCAGATTATTGTGATAATTCTACATGATGTGCCCCAAATTGCACAGTGCTGCAGATAACATTGACTGCTGCTGTTTGCACTGGCAAATAAGTAAATTAGAATACAGTAGTCCCTTGTTTATCGCGGGGGATCCGTACCGTGAAGCCCCACAATAAGTGAAAAACCATCAAGTTGTAATAGTAGTAGTAGTTTATTTTAGTAAATATAATAAATATATATAATATAATATAATAAAGGCATTTTAAACCCATCCCACACTCTTGCAATAGTTTAAACAATGTTTCTAAACTCATCATGCAGTCGCTCTATGCACAATGGCTGAGCCAGAGGTTGCCAGATAAATTTAAAAAGCCTTATTTACCACCCACTTTTCTGTGCACATGTTCAAGAAACACAACACAAACTTCATTTTGCTCAAGATGAGAGTTCTGCGATGGAGTTAAATTCAAAGCAGTCTGCTCCTCAGACAAATAGTGATATTATTATTTTATATATGAATGTTTCTGTTCAGTGCCCTGAGATGACTTCTTTTATGACTTGGTGCTTTATAAATGAACTGAACTGACTTGAATTGAATCTTAGAACATCTTTACTCAGCACATATGACAGTTCAGGTCAAAATACTATCATTTTAAAGCCACAGTACTATAGTTCATAATTTCTTATGGCAACCCGACTGACATGGAAAATACAGCATTTTTCATGTAAACCTGCTCATTTTTTGTTTATTACCCCCAATAAACATTGGGAAAAACACTAATGTTTCCAGAGGTTGTTCTCGTGTAAACAGGGTAGATCACTTTGACTTGGTCGTTTCAAAAGTAGCTCACACACTGAAAAAGTTTCAGCACCCCTGCTCTAAACGCTCTAAAAGAGCACAGAATGTCATGATTTCAGCTCCCTGCCTCCGCTGGTCTCAGCCACCTGCAAGCGCTCTCAGTCACGCCCACTTCTCCACTCTGCATGCAGATCAGCTGTTCAGCTGCAGGAGGAAGTTTATCCTGCAGCTCTGGGCTGCACAAAGGTGCAACAGGTACTAAGTAATAAAAAAAATATTTTTAAAATTAAAATTCCATGCTGATCGTGCGGCTCATCCATCAATCAGCAAATTGTGTGTCATGTCCAATCTTATTTTGAAAAACGCCGATAGAGCAAATTTGCATTAAACGAACTGCGACGTAGAGAGGGACTACTGTACTATTATCAGTAGTATTATTACTATTACTATTATATTACTGTTATTAAACTTTATGTTTCGACATGGAGGTAATTTAAAGAGTTACAGTATATACAACAGGTATGATATCAATTGCTCGTAAGCTTTCCACAGAACTCCACATCAAATGATCTGAACTACTACTTTAATGGACTCAGAATTTAGTTGTCATGGCAGCAAATGCAGTGATTTTTTTTTTATTTTTTTATTTCAGTTAGTTGTGGATTTTACATAAAACAAAAGAGGAAAAAAGTAATACAATTAATGCTTTAATATAAACATTAGCTTAATTTTTACTCTAACGTCAAGGTGGAATCTTTATTTTCATTTAACATCAGGTCACTGTAACTCATAATCAGACGATAAAATGATCTTGCACGCACGGACAGAACGGGAGCTTCACAACCCTAATCTAATATGCTCAGAACAAATTGAGTTTCAGCGTGGAATAATTCACAGGCCTGCTGCTGGTCTCCATCAAACCTCCCATGAATAAATCAGCCGTCATTATTACTCTGCTCCCTCAGCTTCCAGTTCCAAATGACAGCATAACAGCCGTTAAACGTGTTATTTTACTCATCAGGCGAGACAGAAGTATCTTTATAACGTGTTTCATTGCTCAAAGTATGGAGAGCGTGACACAAACGGGAGGTGAATGATGGTCGCCCACGCACACGGGGACAAGAGGTGACATTAGAGTGAGAAATTAGCAGAAAAACACATCAGGACTCATCAGTTGCTGTGGGTGCACGTGCATGTTTGTGTGTAGAAAACAATGCATGATCAGGATTTATCCATTGTTTAACATAGATTACTTCTTCAGCTGCTGATTACACAGATGAGCTACACTAATTGCTTGTTACATATTCATGTTACCCGAGGGGGTTAGGCTTTCAGAGTGTTAATATTCCACCATGCTTAAAGGATTAAAATATGATTGCTTTCTATTATTACTCTTTGTGGCCTAAAAACGAGTCTTTATTCATCAAGACGGTTGTTTTATATGTGACCATCGTTGTGTCTAAATGTCCCCAGGGATTCAGCTGGTTCAGCAGGAGAAGAAGAAGAACAAGCTGTCGAGTGCCAAGCGGGCCCGCAGGCGCTGGCAGCTCCTGTACACCCTGGTCAACAACCCCTCCCTGGTGGGAACCAGGAAGCACTTCCAGCGGCAGAGTGCGGAGAGCTTCCTGAATGGGAGCTTCAAGCGCAGCGCCAAGGAGGGAAGCAAAAAGGAGGCAACCAAGGAGACAGAGGCCGCTGCAAACAACTGAGCAATGGGTGGATGATGGAGTTTCATTGGATCTGGACTATATTCTGTCGTTTTACCGTTTATCCAAGCAGGTCTACAGATTGAGCTCAGTGCTGCTTGTGCTGATACAAACCAAGTCTTTCGTTTTATTTGGAGGCTGTGAGACTCCTTCTAACTGAAGGCCACATTCCTGAATTTCAAATGAAAAGCTTGGGTTACCTTTGTTTTGTTTTTTTTGTTTTTTTCAAAAACCTTAAACAATAATTTGTATTAAATTTGTGCTTTTTGGGTGAAACGCCTAAAGGTAGTATCTCACCGAGCTACGACTGATGGCGATTTGTTAATGACTCAAAAATATGAGAATGTTTGAATTGTTTGTTGCGGTCTGATCAGCGAACCATGCGGCCACATTTTGAGCAGACGATTTTCAAAAATCGTGGTTTATGATCATGTGCGGGACTCACAAACATGTAGTTTTCACCGTGCATGTTATTTGTTGCCCTGCTTCAGTTCATTTTATAGCCACCATAGCTGCCCCCACATTCATCATTAGCCAGCTGGAATTTACAGTTGAGATGAAGCAGCTGTTTTTAAATTATTATTATTTATGAGTGTGGCTTTTAGACCTGGACATTTGCTTTGGATGTTTTCTGTCAGAGAAATGCTCCCCTGTCAGTGTCTACAGCACTCTTCAGATCAGTTCAAGACAACGCTGATTATTTTAAAAAATAAATTGTGGCACTTCTTTTTTTTACATGTACAAAACTGAAGCCGACTCTCTGCGACTCACACAAGGAAACTAAAACCTTTGCAACTGATTTGAGACACTTTGGAGACTCCCCAGTGAATGCCAAACTGCAGCTCAGTGAGAAACTAAAGGGACAGTTCAAACATCTGACGGGAGCTTCTGTAGAATGATATAAACGATTAGCGTCCTGTTTGTTGCAGATAGCTCGTGAACAGTTTCAATTTGGAGGAACAGATTATTTCTGACAAGGCTGACATGTTTGATGGCTGATCACAGGGTGATAAGATCAAAGTGGATTGCTGGCATCTTAGAACAAAGCCAATTAAAAAAATTAAAAATAACCTACCAGTTCATGCAAACACAATATTGTAAACCTTTAATCTGTTGTCAGTGTTGCATAATAATTTTGATATTCCTACAAAAAGTGCTCCAGGCTGCAGTAGTGCTACAGCCAGCTGCTGCTGCCACTAGTTGCACTTGAAAAAAAATAAAAAAATGAAACAATGTGCAAAACTGAAGGCAATGTAAATTATGTCTAAACTGCATGAACCGCTATAAAACTGTGAGAGTGGAGTTATTTTAAGATGGTCGCATTTTACTTTGGTCTTTGCGTCATTCAGACTAGCCGTTAGCTCATCAGTCCGATCAGAATCCAACTGTTTCTTCAAAGTGACGTTGTTCGAGGAGCTATCTACAACAGGTAAGATATCAATTGTTCAGAATCTTACAGAGGCCTGCTGAAAGAAATCTGAAATATCCCTTTAACTGCACAAGATTTCAACCTCCATCATATATTTTTTTTAGATACATACTAAGTGGTGCATTTTAAACACATGAACCATCCTTAAAGAAATTATTTATACACAGATAAAATAATACTAAGAGAGATATTTATGAATATACAAACTGAAATGTTTAAATACAATTTCTTTTTTTGTTGTTCATTAAATTGCACACACGTGTAATTCATATGAGCCTGTGGAATAGGAGCTGCAACAGAAATTAAACACGTCTCGTTTCTTTTAACCTCGTTTGCTGCTACATTACAAATTTATTTTTCTATTTCTCTCGTGTCAAGACATTTTTCTGATTTCTTCTTTTTCTCGTCGTCATTCTTTACAATTCATAAAAAAATATTACATCATCTCATTTGTTTTCCTCGTGATTACTGTGAAAACAAACCAAAAGTAAAGGTGTCTTTGTTTGATGATTTCTGATTGTGTTACATTTTATTTCAGACAAAACTCATCGATGCGTTTTAATTCAGACTAAAAACAAAATCAGTTTTTAAATTATATTTTTCGCATTAAACACACCTGAAGTCACACATTTACAAAATATATAAACAATTGAAGGTTATAGGAAACAATAAAGCTTCTGAAAACAGATTTATTTTAAAGAAATAAAAGACGAGTCCACTAAATAAAGACAACTCCAAGCTGGGTTTGATTTAATATGTTTTATTAATTCCACTTACATAAATTTATGTTAAAAAAATCTCAAAAAGTCACGTTTTTTTTTTTGTCTCATTTTACAACAAGTTTCACAAAAACTCACTATATGCACCAAATGGAGACGGTGAAGACGCGCCGGACGCGCACTGCGCCATTTTGCCTCCATGTTCAAACTCACGGTCAAAAATAATAATACATGTAATTCCTTAAGATTTACATCACAGACAGACAGTCACATTACATGACGCTACACTAATAGAAAAATAAGACTAAAGCAGACAGGAAAACACGTGACATGCCATGGACACGTTTTGCGCGTTGATTAATCGTTGTTTTTTTAAAGCCTTGAACATTTTCTTCCATCAAGCACCAAGCAGCTGAAAGAGCAAATATCTCCCGAATATCTGCAGCCTTTTACATCACGTAATCAAACATTTTATTCCACACAATCGGATTTTATTTCTGACACCTGTTACCTGGCCCTCCTGCAGCCTGCACGCGCGGCTTAGAAACAGTTCCTGATGTCACGCAAATGGAGAAAACGGCAGTAAAAAATCATTATTGGCACTTGTTTGAGGTTTTTGTGCTCTCCCGTGACGGCAATTGAAACATGCGTCGCTCCCGTTTGTTTAACCTTCAATTCGCACCGCGCGCTGCTCACCTGTGAGAAACTGTTTTAATCTGTGCTTGTTTTTAATCCCACACCAGATTTAGACAAACTCAACATGGATTACTTCACGGTGATTTTTGAGGTAAAGATAAAAAAAAAATGTAAATGGTCCACCTTTCATCTCGTGTGAGTCACCCGGAGGGGAAGAAAAAGTAAAGTATGTTACAGTAAAAAGCCCTCGCGGGCACCCGTAGCGCCTCAGCGGCTCGGCTGCTTGTAGTTGCCGTTGATTTCCTCCGAGATGTTCACGGCCTCGGCGCCCAGCGGCAGCCGGTCGCTGTACTCGGATCCCGCCTCGAACTCCTCCGGGTTGGTTTTGGATGAGGAGCCCGGGATGGACTCGGTCACCACGCTCCCCTCAGCCTCCCCTTCCTCCCCCTCGGGCCCCTCCTCCTCCTCGCCCAGCTCGCTGGGGTTGAAGGTCTTCTCGGACTCCACGAACGACGCTCTGGGATCGAACTCCCCCGTGGCCTGCTTCTCCACCTGGTCCGGATTCTGAGCCTTCATGATCAGCTTGTAGCTCTTTCCTTGGTACTTGTAGAGCAGGTGGCAGCAGGTGGCCCCCAGCAGGGGGACGGTGGCCAAGCCCAGGAGGAAAATGCTGACGATCACAATAATAAGCAGGGAGGGGATCTTCTTCCTTGTCGTGAACACCACTTGGACTTGGCAGTCCTTCCCCCCATAAGTGAGACAAAGAGTGTAATTGGTGCCCGACTGTAGGCCGTGGAAGCGGTATGAATTCACCCCCTCCTCTATGTTGGACCACTGCACCAAGGAGTGTCCATTTCCAGTGTTCACACAGAGGTAGAGCATGTCCAGGGTGTCCTTACTGGAAGAGGACTGCAGCAGACCCAGCGGCTCTTTGTTCACAGTCTCCTGGTTCTTGTGGCTCAGGTGGAGGTTTGATTTGGTGCTCGGGAGCTGCAGTGGGTTCAGCTGCACCTTAGCTTCCGTCTCTGAGACCTCTAACGCGATGACGCCGAAGTCAAAGGTGTACTGCTTCAGGTCGTCCAAGCTCAGGTTGAAGGCGTGGTTGGAGATGTATTCGCTTCCGTCCCTCACGCCGCACTTGCTCGCAAACGTGGGGTTCTTAGCCCCCCCAGCCTCCTCGGTTTTGTGCTTTGACCCCTCAGGGCTCTCCTTCGTCTTCTCCTCAGGCTTAGCCCAGTTGATCACATTGTTTTTGGAGCCCTTCGGGTCGTCGAGCTTTTTACCGGACGGACGGATCTTGTCCAGGCTTGAGTCTGGTATCAAGCTGCTGCCTTGCTTGTGGGTGTATGTCAGCGAGAGCTTGACACTGCTCTCCGCTCGGCCCAACTCGTTCTCTGCAGAGCAGCTGTAGTTTCCGTCCTCCTTTTTACTCATGCGGGGAACAACGAGAGAGCCGTTCCTGAAGACGAGGAACCTGGTGTTGGTCGTTTTATCGTTTATCGGCATGTCATTTGTTTCCTCTGTGGACGGCAGGGGGAACAGGTCATTTTGGTTTCCAGCAGTGACCTCCCAGCGGACCTGTGGCTTGGGGCTCCCCTTGGCCTCACAGTTCAGGATGACAGTAATGCCCTCATAAAGGACTGCGTTCTGTATGTTGGGCTGGTATGTTATGGTGACAACAGGAGCTTCACATGTCAGTTTGGGAGTATTTGCAATCATGACCCCTTTCAGGTGCTCGGGGGCCTCACACTGGATTGATTTAGGGTCAGGCACAGAAATTTTGGTTGTGGCAATCCAGTCCCTGAGCCACTCCAGGCTGCAAGAGCAAGTGAACGGGTTGCTAAAGATCTGGAGGTGGGACATGGAGGAGAGGGCGCTGAAGGTGCCCTCCACGATGGTGGTGAACCTGTTGTTGTTGATGCGGAGCGACCTCAGGTCTTGGAGTGTGGAAAAGGCGTCCTTGGGGAGGTTCACCATCTCATTGTTGTTCATTTTCAGCAGCTGCAGAGCTGTGAGGGACTTCATGTCCTCCCAGGGGAAGGTGACGATTTTGTTGTGGCTGATGTCCAGGTTGCGGAGCTGAATGAGGGGGGCCAAGGTGTTCGTCTCAACAGTGACGATTTCATTGTGGGCCAGCCAGAGAGAGGTGACCTGCGTGATGTTATCAAAGCTTTTGCTCTTCAGCAGTTTGATCTTGTTGGCCGAAAGGCTCACGGTGGTTACGTTGGAGGGGAGCCCGACCGGTACCTCCAGCAGGTCTTTGTAAGCACAGTCGGCAAACTTCTGGGCAAATTTATCCTGGCAGCTGCAGAGCTGAGGGCAGCTCTGAGCACTGCTGATCACCACAGTCCACAAAGCAAGGAGCTGCAGGAGCCTTCCTGCCATCTTCTGCACCTACACACATCAACGATCAGAAATTAGAAGCTACATCACTGGTCGTTTTGTTACAAATTCAGAATCAGTTTAGTTTTAAAACATATCTGTGTGATGAACTCATGAAGCAAATTTGAACTCACAGATGCTAAATTAAATTTGCATTAATATAAAACTGCACTGTGCTATAAGTTTATGCATAAAGCACAAGAAAATGTTGCTCTGTTTTGTATGTGCACACACGGTCTAGCCTTCTTTGTGCGCGCGCTCCTGCCCGGGCGCTTTCCATGGTGTTGAAGCGACTTTAACGCCCCTCAAATATTCACCACAAACATTTTCCTTTTTCTAAAAGTTGCATTTTGATGTTTTTTTTTTAAATCTGGAAATCATATTGAACTTCAGTCCTTGTGAACCCAAAAGCTCAAGCTGATCTTCAGGGTGATTTTAGCTGCTTCAGCTCATATTTGACCTCATCTATAGAGAAACACTCGGAATTGGAACGCCTTACCTGTGTTGACTTCGTTTCCTGTGTTTTTTAATTTAATTTGAGTCTTCTGTAGTTTCTACGAGTTTAATGGTTGGAGGGAGCCTCAGGTCCGCGCACACGGCGGCAGGAACATTTTTCCCGGTGAGATGTTGATGTTGCGCTCAGTCGGTCCGTCCGCTCTTTTTTTTTTTTTTTTTTTTTTTTTATTCCTCAGGAAGAACGCTCCTCTGCGCGCTCCCGCCGCTGCGGAGCCAGGCGGAGAGGCGTGCACGCGCAGCCTCTCCCATCTTTCTCCCTTCTATTAAAGACGCAGAAGCTCCTCCTCCCCCCCCCCGCTTCCGAGAAAAGTAATGTTTAATTTATCACTCAGACCCAAACCTAATCTTTGACCTCGTTTGGTTCGACAGCAGCTCTTTGTCTTCAGCAAAGAGTTTACAAACCCAATTTGCTGAGAGTTCCGGTCAAAACAGCCGCGTGAGATTTGATGGGAACAATTTAAATATTCTTTGCTTATTCGTGCCTTAATTAACTATCAGGCTGTAGGTCATTTGAATAAAAGTAGCTTGTTGCTAAATGAATATCTGTGCAAAAGTTTTGAACAAACCTTGTTTGTTTAGAAGCGTTAGACTTGCGTCAAAAAGGTGTTTTCTGATCAAACACTGCCACCTGCTGGTGATCAGTGGGAACTCCTGTCATTCCAAACGTGAAAAAGACAGTTTGGTCCTAATAAAACCAAATAAAGGTAGACAAAAAGTTCACTAAAATTAATGAACAGTGACAATTTAGGCTCCAGAGCTGCAGACTTTAAGTTAAAAGATGATTTGATCTTAAGTGTTGCCTTGCTTGGTTGATTAACAAAAAGACAAAATCTAACCTGACCCTATGAGTGGGGCTCTGTGTTTTGCATTTGCGTATATTTGCGTGAAACGTTAAGATTATTAAAATTAAGATTAAAAAAAACAACATTTATATCAGCTCCAAATTGTCAAGTCTTGCCCACCCACAATAGTTTGTGGAATATTTCAAGGTTCAAGTTTCTTTATTGTCATTCGCATCACATGTGGTACATGAGGTGGAACGAAACTGTGTACTCAAGATCCTAGTTACACCCCAAACTAGCAAATATATAAAGTATAAAAAGAGACAGGATACAAGGATCTAAGATATACACTAAACACTAATAATGTAAAATAATACAGTATATTAAACAGCAGCCCGAACACGAGTCTGTAGTGAGCAGATGGATATATACAGCAGTTTAAAGGCAAGAAATCAGCAGCATGGATAATCAGCAGCACAGTTAAGTCACATATCGCCAGGATATCGCCGTTGGATCTTTGTTCCTGTGAGGGCCGATCTGCTGCCGTGGTTCTTGGAGCATCTGGAGCTACGGGATCTGGTCTCCAAGAGTCCGACTTCCGGCATCTGCTGGTCTGTGGTGGTGGAGGGCGGCTCTGGGCTAACAAATTGTCGGACCGCTGCCATCGGGCGGGTGGAAGTGAGTAAATTATGGCCAAATCCAAAGTAAAAAACCATGATTTCCTGGAACCAAGCTCAGACGATATTGAGGAGATAAAAAAATCCTTGAACTTCATGAGTGCTGGACTCACAAATTTAACATCCCAGCAGAAACTTCTGATTGGGTTGTTTGAGGAAGTGAAACAATTAAAACTACAAATAAATCTCAAGGATAAAAAAATAATGGAACTTGAAGAAAAATTAGATGACTTGGAACAGATTTCAAGACAAGACAATCTTCTTATAACTGGATTAGAGATAAAACGTACATATGCAAGCACTACTTCTGGGAAGGAAACTACTGAAGATTCATCTCCACAGGAGCAACTAACATTAGAAGAGCGGGTGATCTCCTTTTTGCAAGATAAGAAGATCGACATACATCATGAAGACATCTCTTTGTGTCACACCCTGCCCAGCAAAATTGATAAGTCTAAACCGGTTATTGTTTTGAAATTCATTTGCAGGAAATTAAGAAATAAGGTAATAATGCAGGCAAAAAAACTCAAGGGAACAAAAGTGTATATAAATGAACATTTAACAAAAAGAAATGGAAATCTGGCACGTGAAGCACGGTTATTAAAAAAACAAAACAAAGTATTTTCTACATGGACAAGAAATGGAAAAGTATGGATAAAAGTTCAAGATGGATCGCAAGCAAAAATAATAAAAGACATGAAGGATCTTGACAAACTCAGATAAATCTAGATGACAAATAAACATAGATAATGAGATATATTGAACACAAAATTCATAAGAAAAAGTCTGATGAATAAATACACTGAATTACAATGACGTATGATGAATCAGAATTCAATGTTGAAGATGAGATCGACAGAAATTTTTTTCCATTTAGAAATGAAAGTATATATTATAATGATGATCAGTTTAATGATATAAACACAACTAACAAAGCTCTTTCTATTGTGCATTTAAATTGTAGAAGCTTAAATGCAAACATATCAAACATTTCAGATTATTTAAAAGGATTAAATAAGACTTTCAAAATAATAACATTATCTGAGACATGGTTAAATGAAGGAAATATAAATAATGCTTTTATTGAAGGGTATGAATTACATCATATGAACAGAAAAAACAAAAGAGGTGGAGGTGTGGCTATATTTATAAACCATGAAATAAAATGCAAATTGATTAGCGAAATGTCAATAATTGTGGAAAATATGTTGGAAATGATAACAATAGAAATAATAAAAAATAATGGAAAGAACATCATAATAAGTTGTGTATATCGATCTCCATCCTCAAATATTGAGTTATTCACTGATAAAATATTGGAGTTGCTAGAAAAGAGAAGAAATAAAAAAGTTTTTTTATGTGGAGATTTCAATATTGACTTGGGAAACATCACTGATTCAAAAAACATAAGTACATTCATAAATTCAATGTATAGTTTAAATTTTTGTCCATTAATATCAAATCCTACAAGAATCACAAATCAAAGTGCTACAATAATTGATAATATTTTTACAAATGTAACAGAGGGATATGTGCTGAGTGGTATTTTGAAGGCAGATCTCAGTGATCATTTACCAGTTTTCACTATTTATAAGAATGATGATGATATAGTTAAAACAATTATAAGAACAAAATAATAAACACTTCAAAAAAAGCATTGAACAAATTAAAAGATGAGTTGGATAAACAAAAATGGGATGATGTATATGTAGATGATGTGAACAAATCATATGATGAATTTATGACGATTCTAGAGGTCTTGTACAAAAAAAATTGTATGCTAAAAAATGATGTACAGAAAGATACAGTGGATCAACCATGGATGACGAAAGGATTGAGAAATGCTTGTAAAAAAAAGAATCATCTGTATTCGTGGTTCTTGAAATCAAAAACTCAAAAGGCTGAAGAAAAATATAAAAAGTACAAAAACAAATTAGTTGGGATCATAAGGAAACACAAGAGGGAATACTATAGTAAATCACTACATGAATGTAGTGGTGATATGCGTACAACTTGGAGAGTAATAAATAATGTTTTGAAAACGCATAAAATGAGAACGAGACTTTCACAAAATTTTGTGGAGAATGATGTGGAAATCCATGACAATTATGAAATTGTTAATGGATTTAATAATTATTTTGTTAATGTTGGGTCTAGCCTTGCAGCTATGATTCCTAATGTGGAAAAAAATGTAAGTTATTTAAGTAATGGTTGCGTTAACAGTATGTTTTTGGGTAGAACAGATGAGGAGGAAATAATGAAGGTTGTTAATAGATTTGCTAACAAAAGATCAAAGGATTGTGAAGATATGGATATGGTGGTAGTAAAGGAAATAATAAGTCATGTCATTGAACCATTTACGTATATTTGTAATCTATCATTCTCAAAAGGTATATTCCCAGACAGAATGAAAATAGCTAAAGTAGTTCCTCTTTTTAAAAATGGTGACAAACATGTATTTAGTAATTATAGGCCTATATCCTTATTGCCACAATTCTCTAAAATTCTCAAAAAATTGTTTATGACCAGATTAGATACATTTCTTGAAAAAAAAAATATTTTAAGTAATAGTCAATATGGTTTTAGATCAAATTGTTCAACATCCTTAGCTCTTATGGAGTTGATTGAACAAATTATTACAGCGATTGATAAAAAACAACATTGTATAAGTATATTCGTGGATTTAAAAAAGGCATTTGACACTATTGATCACACCATTCTGCTTGATAAATTAAATCAGTATGGTGTTAGAGGTCTTGCTTTACAGTGGATAAGCAGTTATTTGAGGGATAGAAAGCAGTTTGTTCAGATGGATGATGTAAGATCTAATTTATGCAGAACTTTATGTGGAGTACCACAAGGTTCAGTACTTGGACCTAAATTGTTTATTTTATATGTAAATGATTTAATTGAAGTCTCTGACATCCTCAAATGTGTTTTATTTGCTGACGATACAACGTTTTTCTGTTTGGGTACAAATATGGAACAGATGTTTGAATTGATAAACAAAGAGATTGTTAAAATACAAGATTGGTTTAAATTAAATAAGTTGTCATTAAATGTTGATAAAACTAATTTTATGATATTTAGTAAAAAAAGACAACTTTGGATTTTTCTCTCAAAATTGATGGTACTGAGATATGTAGAGTGAATGAAGTAAAGTTTCTGGGTGTAATTATTGACGATAAACTGTCATGGAAACAGCATATAAATCTTGTAAAAATTAAAATATCTAAGTCAAATGCAGTATTATACAGAGTAAGGGACTTATTAAACAATGATGCTTTATATTTGCTATATAATACACTTGTAGTCCCGCATTTAATTTACTGTGTCACTGTTTGGGGTACAGCATGTAAAACCATAACAAAGCCTATTTTTATTCTGCAAAAAAAGCGGTAAAAGTTATAACAAAAAAGTGTTATTGTCACCCTTCTAATGTTCTGTTTTGTCAATTGAAAATACTTAAGTTTTATGATTTGGTGGATTATAATATTCTTTTATTCATGTTTAAAGCTCAGAATTGCATGCTACCATCAAACATTCAAACATATTTTGTAAAAAGGAAGAGTTGTTATAATTTGAAGGGCATAGATATTTTTGTTAAACCCAAGTATAGAACCAGTTTAAAGGGTCGGTCTACTACTATACAGGGAATGAGTCTGTGGAATGGTTTGGAAGATGATGCTAAAATGGTGAAGTCAATGTTTATATTTAAGAAAAAGATAAAAACTGTTTTGTTGGAACAATATATATAACTGATTAATATCTATTTTGTTAAGTATGAAATTTTGATGAGTTATGTATTTTGATGTATTATATATGAATGTTTATGTTTAAATTGATGGTTTGAATTGATTTTGTTTATGAGGGAGCAGATATGATAAGAAATTTTCTTCTTCTGCTTCCTTTCATTTTATATTTGTTTTTCTTTAAATTTTTGAAATTGTATTTGTGTTTTTATTGGAAATTAAATGAAATGAATAAATAAATAAATAAATGTTTTTCATGATTCATTGTCTGTTCAAAAGAAAACCCTTATAAATCTCAACACGTGAAACTTTGTACTTGGCTCTTTTTGACGTATGAAAAGCAGCATCCCTGGAGTAAACTTTCTTAAAGTAAACCTCAGATGGATAAACTTTACACATTTATAAGGAGAAGTACAATTATTCACGCATATTTCTTCTGGTCTTCCTCCAAAGTTTAAGTTTGTTTTCTTGGTGCTATCCAGGGATGAGGTGTGATTAGAGCTCGGTCTCTGCAGTGCACGGATGGTGGCTCTGATCAGATGTTCTGATAAACTGCTGGTTTTGAAGTCTGGTTGTTTTTTTCTGGTTAACTGCACAGTGGGAAGTCACAATGAGGCGAAAGTCACCAGAAGCCACAATCTTCAAAAAACTTTCACAAAACATGAAAAATCTATTAAAAACAAATGTATAATTTCTCATTAACACATCAAAAACAACTTACTGTAGTTTAATACCTTCTGTGTTGTCGGAAAGTTTTATTGACTGATATGAGCCGTACGGAAAACTTCAAATTTAAAATTTTTAGAGCGTAAATAGTCATTTCAAACTTGGAATAAAAATAAATCTGCAGTGAGGGTAAATTTTAGTGGTTTTTGTTCTAAGCCTTCAGACCTGTTGAATAACTGTGACCTCTGCTGGAAAAGACTGCAGCTACAGACAGAAATAAATTTATTAAACTTCAAACTAAACCAAACCAGTTCAGGATATTATAATTTTTTTTTTTTTTTTACAGTAGCATTTAAAATTTAGAAACCTAAGTTTTGTTAAAGTCCTCTGTATCCAGCGAGTTTGATTTTTAGAAGTAAAATGTTTTGGTTTGCATTCCAGTCTTTCATTTATTTTGGCTGCCACCCTGTGTATTTTCGGCTAATGTGCAAAACAGGAAGTTGTGGAAATGCTCGAGGATGAAAGTTGAACTTGACCAGAACACGACAAAGGTAACAGGTCAGCTCAGACAGCACTTTCCGTCCTCAGAGCGTCAAAAGCAGAGCCCTGAAAGTGACTCTATAAATAGGCCTAAAAGAACAACTTATCAGTGATACTTAGCTACAGTACAAGGGTACAAGACAACGAGACAACCTGACGTAACGATCTGAAAGGACTTAATAATGGGTGGGATAGAAGATGACTAATTAAAACCGTGACTTTTCAGGGTGGAGCAGAATGAAATTCAAAATCCACCCTCATTACAGCGTCTACTTGTAGCCAGCCATGTTTGTCACCGGTGATAGATAATAAGCTGTTGTGTCAGATCCGGATTAAGCTAAAAACGTCTCAGTAAAGTAACTTGAGTGTGACAGTAAGACGCCCGATGGCCTCGGTGTCAACTGTGAAAACATCGGTCATGTCGGGACATGAAAACCTCTTTCATCACCGCTGAAGTCATTTTGTTGTGAAGTGACACAAGTTGTTGGCACAAGGTAAACACATCAGCAGGGTTAGATCATGTAAGAGCTAAAACTGACGTTAATAAGGATACTGGACGTTTGGTTTTTCTGTGTAAATGGGATGAACTCCTTTACACTTCATTAGGAGTGTTGAGATTTAGGAATGAAGACAGATTAAACTCGGGTGACAAACTTCACTGAGTGCCTGGCCTGATTCAAACACACCAGACTGGTTTTCAATAGTAGTGACAATAATAAATAAATCCTGTTATAACAGAACCCGATTAACGTACTCTTTTCTGTTCTGACTGTCTTTCTGTCTTCTTTTCATGTGCAAATAATTTAAACTGTGTATTTATCTTAAATAAAGACAAAAATGTTTAAACTCAGCAGGCTACAAAAGCATGCTGGTTTATATGCCCCCTTTAAAAGATACACAACCTGTGGTATAGGATCATTTTGCTGAAATTAAATACATACTTTACCCATATTACCCATATTTTTGAAAAGCATCTGGATTGCAGCACATTAAAATCCAAAGCCACTGTTTGTAAGAAGTGCAATCAGGGTTGCCAGATAACCCTTTTTTTTGTATCCTTTTCTGTGCAGGTTCAAACAACGTGCACCTCATCACATACAACAGCTTAGGTCAAAATACAATTAATTTAAAGCAACACTACACTAGTGTATTATTTCTTATCTGGCAACCCAGAGCAATGCACCCACAAACAACATGTTTAAATGTGCTTCCTCAGAAGAAGAGGAACTCTACCAAACAAGTTTGTTTTATGGCCTTATGCATTGAGTTGACTTTTTTGTCATGTAACATATGATTATGGTAAATTAACACATCGGTTCCAGCGGCTCCTTAAAGCAGGGGAGAATTTTTTTTGAAGTGCAAGTGGAAGGATCTGAACAACTTTGACAGGTGCAAAACTAAAGTGCATACACAAATTCAAAAACTGAAACCTATGTGGTACACTTTTATTTTAAAGAGGTCAGAAACTACCAAAAAAAATTTCCCCTTTCAAAATAACATTACATTTTATAGCTTTAAAAAATATATTTAACTCTACAAAATATAATTTATAATATAACCATGAATACATTTCAACAGACACAATGCACTATGTTTGTATTGCAATTTGAATTTTAAGATTAAAGGCAACTGGACTTCAAGAGAAGAAGTCCAGTTGCCTCTTTCACTTGTTAGTTGCTGTCCCGGTCTAGATAGCTGAGAATCTACACCAACGTGCGAGCAAGTGCCGGAAAAAACTTCAGGTAACGTTATCTTATCTTTACCTCTGTGGATCTTTGTATTTTATGCTGTGTTCTTTGTATTTGCTGTACAGCACCTTGGTTGACCTTGGTGCTGTTTCTAAGTGCTTTATAAATAAAGTGTTATGGTATGTTTCAACTGCAGTGCTCTGTTCATGCTGTAGCTGCAGATACTTCTTTGGACATAAACGATGTTATTGATAGGTCAGTCTAGCACATTCCAAAGCATCAGAGAACAAGATAATTGTTTTTTTACACTTTGGAGTAAGCTGTTGGGGGAGAAACAGTTTTGTTTGGTGTTTCCTCAGACTGATGAAGCCTTCTGGATGGAGGGCAAAACGTCTCGGCCCCAAAAAAGAAACCACCCAGATGGCCTGACTGAACATTGTTGGATTTTATACCTGGAATATTGAGCTTGGACTTTGGTGAAAGCATCCAAGACTACTAAACTGTTAGACTGGAGGGAAAGTAAAGAGGAAAACCACAGAAGAAATTTTGGTTTTTCTGGTCTCTTAGCTGAGCTCTGGACATAAAGCAGCATCTCCACTTGCATTAGCCGTTCTTATGTTGCCTGACCAAAAGTTTTTATGCTCAGAGTTTTACCATTTAATGGCCAACAACAAATGGCACTCGGCAATTTCCTTTTCTTTCACTCTGCTCAACTGAAAGGAATTCAAGTACTTCCTTAGTAGTAGAATTGCAGCATTAACATTGACCTGTTCACACTGTGTGTACTGGTAACCAGTTCTGTCTCCTTCCTGAGTCTTTTCAACATTGTCCTGTTCTCCCCATTTAAAAACAGCCTTGGCTGTGAAGGGTTCCTGTTGACGTTTCTGTCAAGCAAAGCTCTGCTCCAGTCCAACAAGCATAAATATGTTCTCAGCAGAATGGGTGCTGCTTTACTTGTTCAGCTGTTTTGCATATTTTTAAAGGGAACCTTTTCTTTATTGTGGCCTCAGTTTTCACCGCACTAGCAACAAAAAGCTTAAAAGCTATCTAAAAATCCCCCACATTACTACATTCTGTAGCAGAATCCATAACGACTGCTGAGCAGGGCCTGATGCGTTGGTCAGATAATAATTGATACTTCTCCACTGAGTGTTTTTCGTTTCATCAGGAAGTCTCTGCTCCATCAGCTGGTATTTCTTCACAATCTTGGTGTAGTTTTTCTCTCTGGAGACACAGTTGTAGTTCCCGTAGTTTTCTTGTGCCATGGAGGGGATGAGGTGCAGACACTCAGAATGCATCTGCAGACAGGGACTGCTGAGTCCTTCATGCTCCCAGGTGTACACGGCATGATAAGAGTCTATAGGACAGGACAGATAGAAAGGGACCTTGTCTGGGACTGAATGAATGGTCCTTGAGTCCGTCTGTGAATCCACCTGTCGTTTGGATCTGTTCAGCGGCTTAGATTCTAAAATAATAAATAAATGGAAAAAAAGGTGAATAAAAGGAGTAGAGCAAAATGTTTTGTATAGTTTGCAACATATCATCATTAGTTACCTTCTTCTGCTGTAGAGCACACACTTATTTCCCCAGTCATGATATTCTGAATGCCCCCGCTGGGAACAAAACAAAAAGTTTCAGCAAATGATTTGAAAAGAAAATACAACCCCAGTTGTCCCTGAGGCGCCGACCAACTTCTCTGATAACAGAACTGAGGATATGGATGCAATTAGTGAGAAACAAGGTCCCACGCAACAATCCACAACACCCAAAGGATTTTTTCAAGTGCCAACTATCAGGGTCAGAAAATCTTTGTCACACCAAGATGGTTTCTGTCCACGCCCTGATTAGTTAGATATTTTGATGGCAAAAACAGGGACCTACTAAGAATTAGGCTAGAGGTCAGATAAAAATAAAAACACAAACAAGCAGCAACAAGAAATAAGTAACTAAACAAATTATTTTATTAATCAAACCGCTAAATGAACCTCTGATAGGGTTAGCATATTGGTATGTGCACCATGGCTCACTTACGGGACAGCTCGGGTGCATCCAGATGTGGTCCAGGCACAGTACGGGTCTCGGGCCAGGACGCATTCTGCACAAGAGTTGGCGTACTCTTCACATCTCTGAAGCGCCACGGTGGATATTTTCTCAGAAAAACCCACAACTAATGTTTTCTGAACATGAACAAGAGATAAAACACTTTCTTACGGTAAATTATTTGAGTCAAACATTTATAAATGCACATTCAGAAATAAAGACTTCAAAACAACAGTCTTTTTACACACTCGAAAATATGAAGCCGATTTTGTTGTTCGATAGAAAAAGAAGTAAAATTCACAATAAATCTTTTTTTCTCCAATATCCTCAACGAGCTCCTGAGAAAAACGCAGTGGGAACTCCACTTTGTTGTGGTCTATTCTCTTGTATTCACATGTATATTATAATTTGTGCCCGTACAAATCTCCCTACAGTTTAATTAAATTACTTCTGACAGTCAGCTTGCTCTCTGCATCGTGTGCTGGCTCCTGGCTTTGTTTTGACTCCTGAATTATCAGACACCTGGACACAATCTGCAGCTGCTTCGACAGCAGAAAATATGTGACTTTCTAACTGAATGCTCTACTTTGTGAAACATTTTCCCGTCCTTGACAAACTAACAGTTCACACAGTGGTTTGTGAGCTGAAAACAGCAGGTGCAGAGGCAACTGGTGAGGCTAATCAACAGCAGTGAGGCCACGGACTATCATGGAGAACAGAGATAAACGAGGTTGACGCTGCGCAGAGCTGAGGGATCCAATACAAGTCTCTGAAGCTACACATATTTACTCATTCAAATCACTCTTTAGTGATTGAACATACAGTATATGATAAGAAAATCTAGTTTAACTCATAATATGTGCGTAATGTAAACAATATGTAACATTTAGAAAGAGAAATTTTAACGGTGTACCTTTTTGGTGTCAAGCTTCATTGCTTGTATGGTTGAATCGGTGGAGAGTTGTGTTTCAGATATAATGAAGGGCTCCGACTCAGCCTCTAGGACTTTATGGACCTTCCCAGAATCTGTTGGAACATCAAGTGATGTGCAGTTACTCTGAAGGCAGAGTCTTTTTAGTTCATTGTTTCCAGAAGATTATAAATAATGCACAACAACAAGCCAGAAGAAAAAGACATGAAAGGCAACAGCAAAGAAAGCTCTGAGCATCGTCTATGGTGATTTGTGATTTCTTACAGTCTTGACTCACCAGTAGCTAAGAGCAAAATGTTGTACATTTGCTGGTCGGCTCCTTGTACTTGGTCAACAGCTATTTTTGTATAATTGTTGTTGCTTATATAAAACGGAGCTTTGTAATTCAGGGAGTGGACCCAGTTCGTCATCTCGGGGTGATCCTTCACTATGTTCACAGTGGCTCGTGGCAGACTCTTGCTGTTTGGTACACACTAAAATAAAACAGACGTACAAAGATGTTTCTGTCAAAATATAATCTTAGACATTGACATTATTTAATCTAATCAAACCTAGATGAAACTATTTGGCAACAATTCAAGGCTACAAGTGAAGGATCCAAGCGCTTGTCGTAGTTCCATCTGTACAATTAGTCAAGCACGGTGAAAAGAGAATAATATTGTGGGATGTCCACACAGGTTTTAAAGATGGATGCCAACAAATGTAAAACAATCCTGACAGAAAACCTGTTCCAAAGTGTTCAGGATTTTAGGTTTGTTCAAAAACACACCTGAAAGTGGCTGTGCACGTCTTCCCTCCATTCATTTGAAGTAAAATAGAAACGTTTCTACAAAAATATTGGAGAAACCACCACAAACATAAGGCTGCCCTTAAAGTCAAAGGTATTTTAACCAAGTTTTAAAAGAATGATAGGAATAGTTGAAATTTACTTCTAGTTTAGAGTACTTTTATGCTGCAAAATTACACCCCAGAACAAGTTGGACCAAGCTGGTCGGGGTGTACATGTGATCCGTTTTTATAAGAGGCTACGGAAAGCGATGTTTGGAGTAACCTGTAAGTGGAACAGGACGTGTATCTGAGTCAACTTTCTGTGTTGACTGGACAGAGCAGCGTTGCAACATCTAGATCATTTGAGATTCAGGTTATTGGAAAAAAATAAAAGCAATAATGTTTAATTTTTACAACAGAAAAACTTGCAAAGATAAAATATATACTGAGTCAGAGGGGAGTGGCAGTGAGCTTTAGTCTGAATGAGGGGGTTCTCCTTTTATTGGAGGGTTTTCAAAGTAAACGTGTTTTAAAAAGTCAGTGTGTAAAGTTGTATATAAACAAATGAGAGACTAATTGATAGGAATGAGCTAAATAGACTGAAAGCAGGGGTTATTTTAGGCAGATGCCATGACATTAGGTTTAAATCAACATAAACTGTCTGCAGCTACGACAAGAAGATTTAAACAAAATCCACATTTGGTGGACCCCGTCATCTCCACAGCAACTCTGAGGAGCAAACAAACCTCATGTGCAAGCATGAAACCTCCAAACATTTATATGGAAAGGGTGAACAAAGTGAAGTAATTCAGACACACATGTTCCATGTCTACACCCATTTATGTAACATGTTTTTTCAATCTGGCATTAAACTCAGGGTTGTTATATGGAACAAACTGCTCAAACAGAGCATGAATTTAAAAAAACAAAAAAAAAGGACACATGCAGAAATAAAACAATTTGAGGAAGTTCTGTAAATAAGTTCTGCAAATGAAACCAGCAGCAAAATCTTACCGATCCTGGTCTTGGGTTAGGAATCTCTTTATTGTAGCCTCTGAAAGTTGAATTCTCAAAGATTTCTTCGATCATTCCTATTGAATAGATGCAAACTGCAGTTGAGTTCCTAAAGCAGAAAACATAAAACTGAGCTTAGAATACTCTACATACCACCATGACTGCAGTGTTTTATTTGTTGTAGTCTAAGCAACTGATGTGGTAAGGACAGTTTTGATTGCAACAGCAGCATTGTTGGATTTTCATATTTCATAAGCTTGAACTAAATGAAAAACCCTAGACTGTGTGGTCTCCTGTGTTTTGATGCCGTCAGTTGTTCTTTGTGTTGTTGCTTGGTTTCTGACAAATAAAGGAAGGAAATATGTCTTACCAGCTGCTTGAAAACAGGGCGTAGATTTTTGTGTCATGCCAATCCTCAGCGTGCATCACGAAGACGTCTTGGAGACGGTTAAAATACAAAGATTCATCTGGAAACCCACAGACGAGTCGAGCCTTAAGAAAAGATGTCCACATGTTCTGGAAGAACCGTTTTGATCCACCTTCATCAACCTGCAAAACAGTACAATCACGAGGAACAGACATCTTTGTCACACTTTATTGAATAAGTTTTATATGTATGTATGTATGTATGTATGTATGTATGTATGTATGTATGTATGTATGTATGTAT